AGCGTTACGACCCCGTTAGACCCCTCTGTTGATTTGCTCCGCTGCAGGCCGACCTCGTAACAAGCATCCCCATCGCTGTTACGTTTGACCTGTTACAGTTCATTTGCTCGTCCTCATCACATGTGATGTACGTCCTCTGTGTGTCAGAACTACAATAAATCAATCACTGCTTACACACACACACACAGAAACTACGGGCGTCGCTTCAGTGAGAATAGAAAATCTGTGTTTTGACGATTTTCTCCTCGTCCATGGACTGGTTTTATTTGAATTTATGATTTTTAAATGCTCTTTTGCGAATGGGGTTTATTTCATTTCATGTATATTAGATGTAGTTGGTTGTCAATTAGGGCTGTTTCATAAAGTAACACTTAAAAAAAAAACTGTAATGTAGTTTCTGCCCCAGAATACTATTTACTTCCTGTAACAATGTTGTGAAGATAGACGTCCAGTACCGATACTGCAATTTGAAATATCTGTAAATACCGACCAATGTCGTTCCAAAGCCTTGTATTCTCCTCTGTTTAATGGTATAACAAAGTACTGATCCTAAGTGTGGAGAGTATTATTACAGAGCCATCCAGCAGTTGGTGAAATAACAGCACCGCACGTGGTGCAGAACTGTCAGTTTCACAAATGTGTGTGTTCCTCAATGCAGTACTCAATAGATAACGAACGCGCGATCCTGAATGCTACACAGTGAGATCATTTCAATTTTTCTTTTTTCTTTTTTTTTTCAGTTCCACGTGGAGCGAGCAAATGCAGAAGAATTCCTTGAAGTTTACAAAGGTGTTGTTACGGAATATAGTGTGAGTATAAAGATGTTAAGAATCTGCTACTGCTTATAAGAGTCGTTAGGGCTGTAATCATACGTGTATTTGTCGTGTATTTTCACAAGCGTGCACTTCACCAACATGGCTTAATATATGTGTGTACATAAATAGCTATATCTATTTATAGACGTATATATATAGAGAGATACATACGTATTTATAGTCAGTCTATCACAGCTGAATTCACAAGCGTGCACTTCACCAACATGGTTTAATATATGTGTGTGTACATATATAGCTATATCTATTTATAGACATATATATAGAGAGATAGATACGTATTTATAGTCAGTCTATTGCAGCTGAGATACTTTTTTGTCTAAATTATATTCATGTATAAAATATAAATGAGCGCACGTAAAGTTGGGCAACCCCTTTGTAAATATATTTTGAAATAATGTTTAAGTCATTTTTTTGGTACATCTACCAAAAATGTACCAAACAACCAGTCAATACTAAGGTACGTAAAAATTGCTTTACTTTTTGCTTGTGTTATTTGCTTTTTCCTAGAAAAATACCAATAGTAATTTAAGTTATAAATTCAATAAAAACTGTAATAGGGATGTCCGAAATAAACTTTTTGCCGATATCGATATGCCGAAATCGTCCAAACACTTAAATTCCGATTCCAATATTAACCGATACCGATATAGCGGGGCAGTGGCGGCCTAGTGGTTAAGGAAGTGAAGTGCCGCCTGTGATAGGTTAAAGCCCCCCCTCCCATCCGCCCTCAGCATTCTGCATACAATCCCCTGATTTTCAATACAGATTAATAAAATGAGCTGCGACGCTGCCATCTAGTGACTAAAGGCTTGTTTAGCGTTGATAATGTTCTGTTCATGTGTTACGAAGGAGTTAACAGTTACGGGTATGCGAGGGGAATTTAGGCGGTGTGTTGAGAGCATGTGCATGTAAGGACGTGCGAGTGCGGAGAGTTATCGGGTTTTCAATATCGGAGGAAAAAAATGAACGATTCTTATAGATATTACATAATTATGCTAATTTCAGCCGCCTGATATTATCAGACTTTTTTTAGACTATTGTCTGACTGTTCCGATTACATGACAAGTCAACTACAAAAACCTACAACTTACAGACCGCTAACCCCTTTTCTCCCTGCAGTGCATGGTGTCAGAGCTGTGTTCTGGTCCATGTATGGTGCTGGAGATCCATGGTAACGACGTACCAAAGAGATTCAGGGAATTCTGTGGACCTGCCGATCCAGTGAGTCATTACCTATGATTTCTTCTTTATATATGTATTTACAACGGGAGCATAAACAAGTCCTATAAGCTAAACATACTTCATATATGTATTATATTATGTGGACGTATGTAGTTCTATGGCACATAATTATTACATTCTTTACTAAACACGTATGTATGTACATATATTTAAAAAAAAAAAAAATTAATTGCTAATGATCTACCAGTATTCCCTTTGCGATCCACCTCAATAAATTATAATTGACTACCTTTGAGAAGGAATTAGCGTGTCAAACACAAGGCCAGACGCTTACCATCCGGTGCGTCCAAACCATCTCAACCAGTTCCTCTTTTCACTTCAACATTTGTGGAAGATCAGAACACGCCATTAAACCACAGCAGGCCGTCCTGGAGGTTTCTTTATTGCTTCAGACTGCACTGATAATGGTGGACGAGGAGCAGTTTCATCACCCTGTGACCTAAGACTCACCTTGGCGTTATCTGACAAATAACCCAAAACGTTAGCCCTCCTGCACCTCAGTGGTGCGCAGTCATTTGATACTGCAGATGTATGGGGAAGTCTCAGAGGCTCTGAGGGTTTTAGAGGAGGAGGAAAGTGACAAACTCGATCAGTGTGTTAGATCAGGAGGTCACCGTCAGGTCACATGTGCTCGTGCTCGTGCTGTGTGCCGGTGATTTCACATATTGTTCCGGCAATGCAAAGTACAGTCTGCCCCTCCCCCGCTGTGTGACAGGAGGTGACATTAGACTATTGATGGATTTCTATTGAGTGAAGACTGCTCTATAAACCACACATGTTGTGAACAGATCAATTGCAGAATGACACATGGCAGATGTGTTGGTTGAAAAACATGGACAAAAAGTTTATACCAACACATCAAACCATGTGACATGTTATGTGCAATTAAATATGTATGGGTTTTAACAGGGCGCCAGATGTCTGAGAGTGAAGGATGGTCATGTGTTCACGCCTCCACACCCTCCGCTGCTTTTTGCCTCACACTAGAGATTGTTCTCTGTCTTGTGATGTGTCCTGATATCTGAGTGAACAGACACAAGCGTTCTCCTTTAGATAATCCTGACTGAAGCTGCTCTATCTAAGAGAGTCTTTAACTCTGCTACGGTTCTCTCAAAACACCCAGTGGATTGTTTTCCACATAGCCGTCTACAAGAATAAATACTCAGCCATTTCTGCACAGTCAAATATATTATAGTGTTAAATAGTGTAGTATACTGTAGTTTAATATGACGTCACACTGATCGCATCGCGTCACACGGGGGTGTCCACACTTTTTTGGCCTGGTAGCTACTGTTCAAAATGTGTATATATATATATATATATATGTATATAAATATATGAAGTCCTGTAAGCTGAACATACTTCATATATGTATTATATTATGTTGGCGTATGTAGTTCTATGGCACAAAATTATTACATTCTTTACTAAACACACATGTATGTACATATATTTTTTTTTTAAAAATGCTAATGATCTACCAGTATTCCCTTTGCGATCCACTGGTAGATCCTGATCCACATATTGGGCACCGATGGTGTAAGGTGGTGTTAATGCTGCATAACAAACTAATAATAATTCATCCTGTACATGATAATGCTACAGACCTGACCATGAAAAATGTTCAGTATTTAAACCACAATAAATTATAATTGACTACCTTTGAGGAGGAATTAGCGTGTCACACATAAGGCCCGCGGGCAAAAACTGGCCCGCTAGGGGGCTTCATTCCGGCCCGCTTGATACATTTTGATTGCAGAAAAAGCACAAACACTTCATGTTCATGATATTTTGTAACATTACATTTCATTAAATATGAAGATTTTCTAATATACTTGTACTTCTTTGCATTTAAAAAGGGGTAAAAATGGGCTTATTATTATTTATAGGTAGTTATGTTATGATTGTACTGGTCCGGCCCACTTGACATCTAATCAGGCTGTATGTGGCCCATGAACCAAAATAAGTTTGACAACCCGTGAATACTTTTTTTCATGCAATTTTCAGAATTTTTGGCTCTTTTTATGCTTTCACGGCAATACGGAATACGTCGGCAAATAACCTGAAAGCGGCAGCATGATAACTCGCAGCCGTTTTCGATTTCGAACAGTTGTGGTCATAAAGGAATAAAAAATGAAAAGGGCCATAAAAGCAGATAAAGGCGAGTCATAAATGTATTTATCTACGTTTATTGTGTTATAAAAGCGATGGTGTTAGAATAAGAGACACGCTTCGGTCGGGCGTTATTATGATTTGTAATGAGAATTCTCAGAAACAACCAAGGGGTATGTTATTATTTTTTATCGACATCGTTAAGGCTCTCAGACTTTCACGTAAAACAACCAAGGGGTATGTTATTATTTTTTATCGACATCATTAAGGCTTTCACGTACATATTTGGATTGATCACAGAGCAGCTGTGGATGAAGAGGATTAATCACAGGTGTAATTAAGCGTAATGAATCACGATTAATGAAATCAACAATCCTAAATACGCCTATTTATTTTAAAAGAGAAATAACAGCTGGTAGATGTGGGTGTTTTACACAGTTTTACATGAGGCGATAAATGGATGGACAGAGGACTGTGATTATTATTGGTGGTTACACAGTGCTCTACGCAGCAACATTTCAATATGATTCTTTCTACTTTTGGTTTATACATTATTCTACTAAATAATTAGATGCATTTGGTGACTCATTACTACAATTGATATAGCTGTGGTTTTTTATTATTATTATTTGTTTTTACAATTTGACACCTTTTAATTTTTAAGATCTCATGAAACATTTGTTACCCAAGTTGTCCGAATGAGAGCAACATTTCGTGTCATTTTGAAAAGTCCACTTGAGTTAAGGCTGTTTCATAGGATTATGACGAACGACGCCTTTACAGTTATCGGACAACACAGATCCTGGTTTGACTTCTCAGTAAGAAAATCATGTCTTTCCTGGGTGATGAGCTAATAAAAAGGCCAACGGGGACAAGCCCTGACTCAGGGAGTGTCACATGTCAAAGAAACAGAAGGAAAAGGGAACTTTACTAATCCATTACTAATCTGCATTGGAAAACAGCCAATGAGAAATGAGTTCAAAGTTGTTAATATTTATTATCAAACACAGTGAGCATCACTGTGTTTGATATTGCATTAAACGGCTGCGAAAAAGGTATTTTCAGGTTTAAAGATTCCACTGATCACCTGCTGAATAGGACTTTACGAACACTTTTTCATTATGTCACACATGCAAATGTGAAAAAATGGAACACATCATGTGAACGCACCACCCCACAGCCTTATTCAGCACATAGGATACATCAGTCTTTAGTGACTTCCTTTTGCTCGGTCACATGTTGCATTGCTGACTAATCATTCTGACAACACACAGCAGAACAGGATGTTCTGAAAAATAATCTTTGGAAAAGAAACCCTTGCCGCCCTGTGATGTCATGTTTTTTTTTTTTTCTGTGTTAATGTTGATTCCTCACAGACTTCCCTTCTCAGCGCTTTTTGAATTCAGTGACGATGTAACACATTACGCTCTTATTCAACAGGAAATAGCTCGGCATCTCTATCCGACGACGCTGCGTGCCCTTTATGGCAAAACCAAAGTGAGGAACGCAGTCCACTGCACAGACCTGCCTGAGGATGGAGTACTGGAGGTGGGTACTGTTCCTCACTCAGAAAGTAAACGCATTGTGTTCTCTGACGTGCTGCTTGGTACACCCACGTTACTCCGTGTGTGCATGTGCCTTCTGCAGCTTCACAACACTTTCTCTGACGTGCTGCTTGGTACACCCACGTCACAACACTTTCCCCCTGATTGTCTCTCTGCCTATGCACGAGTACGTTGCTCAAGTCTGGCCCAAGAACAAAACCCCTCTCAATTGTGTGAAGCCGGGTCCCATGACTCAGCTCCGTGGGCTGGGGCAACCTTAGATCACACTGGTTTTCAAGGGAACAAGAATGGCAGAGGAATTTGAAACAAACCCATTGTTTTACGGAGAGTGTGGTCTGACCCATCAAGCGTCATTGTTCAGGAAAACTCCTGATCTGCGGCCCTGGACAAATGCCTCCTTGTTAACCATTTGCCTGTGACTGACTGAACTCCCATTTTCCCAGGGCCAAGACAATGTGTGTTCATGGAAGTTTTAAGAAGAGGACTTCATTATTTTGTTGTCATGTCTCATTTTTATTTATTTATTTATTTATTTTTTCTACTTTCTCAGGTGAAGTACTTCTTCACGATTTTGGATGGATGAATGTGAAGGAAATTTCACTCACACGTCATACTCAGAAAACTTCACAGTCGTCTCAATTCTCTGTTTATTGTTTCAGCCTGATGTAGATTAAAGTGACAAGAGCAGACTCCTGACAAGTGTTTTGATCTCCGACACTGAATTAAGCATTCTCACACCAACTACACATTATATATCACAGGATACTGCATTGCCTCTCAATTCTCAAACCTTTTAACCAGCGACTTTGGTTTTTGGATTTATATGTTACACTTTGGAAAAAAAATGTACAACTGCATAAATATAAAATTCTTCCACCATGAAAATGGCTAAAACATTCAACATGTTGCATCACATTACGTGACGGCACCAGCCTCAAAAAAAAATGATGCGAGTGCTCTGAGTTGCCGCTCTTTCCATGGAGGCTGGACCCACAAAGCTCTACACTAGGATTTAAGAATGAACAGATGTTAAGCGCAATAAAACACAAATGTTATCAAACCAAAACCTACGGCTAAAGTGAACGGCAAAGAAAAAGGTGAACAATCCACAGTCAACTCTAACAACGAAACCCTTATCGTCCGAAAAACGAACGGAAAAAAAAAAAAAAAAAAACAACTAACGGAAAACACTGAAACCCTTTCCTTTTCGTGCGCAACGCACACGAAAAGGAAAGGGTTTCGTTGGGGGAAAAACGATTCTATGGAGCGCAGTCAAGATGCGGGTCTTGGAGGTTCAGAGTACCATGCTAGTATTTCAGTTAATCAGAGCACTTTAACACACAAAGCACACACACAGACATGAGTGTGTATGCACACACTTTGGACCACCGAAGCTGACACAAGACGGAGGAGATTACAACAGGACTAGAGTACGGCACTGGACACTCCAAAATATATAGAAACCACACAGGTAGGGGGCGGGGAGGGGTGAAGTAGTTAGGGCCTACAGAAACACAGCTTGCTACACATCAGTAGTGGAATTGCGTTTTTACAGTAACAAATGAACACATCCCATGGCTCAAGGAATATCGTCATTTACAGTAGAATAAATATTTGCTATTGCTACTCGTGGCAATTTACATTCTAACCCTGGACAAACACACACAGAAAAGCTAGTGTAAAGTACACAGATTAAGTGTAGGTCCTGTATATGATGAACGTTCAAAAGACTAGTGGTGTTTATATGACTGTGGATTTGCGCTCTCTCTCTCTCGCTCGCTCGCTCGCTCTCTCTACTATTTCATTTATTTCTAAAATGAGTGCTTGGCACAGCTGAGGTCACGAGGTGATGGTGAATTTAACTTCGAATCGTCCCTGATAGCGATCCTTCTCGCTGTAGTCGATGTTTGCTCCGTATACTTTGCACTCGATGCGAACCTCCTGATTCTGTGTTACGTTGGTGAAGTGGATGGCCACCAGGGGCTGCAGGTACTGCGGATGCAGCCGCTTGCCGTAGTACGGGTAGTACTGCAGAGGAAATCCTTGGCCCATGCCGTAGTACTGGATCTCCCCAACTTTATCCTCCTCCCCTTCTCTCTGCAAGCACAGTTATGACTTCAGTCTACATTCAGGCTGGTGTGGGTGGTGTGCGTGGATGCGGAGGAATCTACGGTACCTTGTTTTTGCAGTGAATTGGGATCACGTTGGCCATTTGGATGTTCTGCACAGCCTCTGGGAGTGAGTGGTTGTCAGGAGCCTGAAATGGAGAGAACTGCTGTGAAACAAAACCTCCAACTGTACACACTTGTTTTGCTGCTCGGTCGCTAAGATTTGACGTCGACCAAATATTCGAGCACAGGAGGTAGCGGATTCGATCGCTTGTACATACATCGGTTTTTATCTCTTGGACAACAACATTCTCTGCCTTGTTTTTACTTTATAGTTTACAGTCCAATCCCCAATTCGTGTTCATTAGGCTTGAATTTCATTTTTGACAGCAGAATTATTTCTCAACATGGATGAGGTCTGTCAACATAAGTTAGTGGACATCCATTGTCACGGTCGGGCTTACTGAATGCTGACCAGTGTTCTGTTCAATCCTTTTAGACCCTGTATCAGTGCATCAAGGCTGCAGTGTTTGATGGTGACTACAGAAGGGGTTCTCTTTGTTAGAACCACTGTTTAGATAAACAGCCATGTGTGTTTTCGTGTGTTTTCAGGTAAATTAGGCTTTAAAACAACTGTAACCTCAGCAGGGCGTGTCCTGGTGAGAAACTGTTAACTGGGATACGGCAGCCAGCACTGCAGCGATTTATGTCTGTAATTAGACCTCTGTATCAGACACTTGACACATTGGCTAATGCCAAACGAACTGACAACCATTTGATTTTCACCGACATCCAGCCGAATGGACAATGGGGAACCTTACTCTTTTTTTAGAAGCTAGTTTGAGCATCTTTCCACGGTAAAAATAAGGCATCACTGTTGTGTATTTAAACCGGTAACATTTTCGTAAGAACGTGTTATTTATTCAGGAAGCTACAGTAAGATGTTAAATATTTGGTGAGGACGTTTCTTTATTTACTCTTCCCTGTTTCGCCAAGCTATGAAAAAAACTCACTGAACTTGTGCTCACACTCTTGGGTTTGGTGAGTGGAAAAATAAACTGTGATGACAAAGAGAGACCTTCAACACTGACATTATGCGTAATGTAATGTGAACAAGTGGTTAAGTCTTAAAATAACGTTGACAATATTATCGTGCATCGGCAATAATTTGTGGGACAATATATCGTCAAGCAAAATTTGTTATCGTCTACTAAATAGCTGTAGACCTGGAGGTATAAACCCTTCATACAAAAGATATAAACTGAATAAGACTCAGGAAGTTCTCAGGAATAAAATGCATGTGCTTACTTTTCAGGGAAGAAATAAAAAGTATAAACCTCAAGTAACTCTAGTGCTATACCGACAGTGACCCCCAACAAAGCTTCGGTAACCCACGAAGTGTATCCTCAGGTGTGCAGAGAACTTACTCTTGGTCTGAAGTTAACAATCCTGTTGAGCTTCACAATAAGGCAGGGCTTCCCTTCCTTGAAGCCAAATGAGGCATCGCTCTCCCCTGAGCATTTGTCCAGCAAAGACCTGTAAAAACGACAGGCCATCCTCTGGCCCGCTTCCGCTTCCGCGCTTCCACGGTCCTTGTACGAGTCAGGAGTTACTAAGAACACAAGAGAAAACCAGACAAGACAAGTTAGACCTTTCGCACTGCCCAGGTCAGAAATCGTCATCTGAAAGCCTGACTTCAGACTGACTTATACTTGCCTCCACAGTCTTCAAATTTCATCTGCTCGGTCTGAAGTTCATCTGTGTACGGATGGAGGAGATCTTCCAGACTTTTAACATACTTCTCATACGTGGATTTGTCAGACCGATTGAAGGCGATTTCTGATTTTAGAGAGCGCGGGGTGTGTGACAGACCTGAAAGAGATGATTTGGATAAGGTAAAAACTCAATGTGCATCATTTTCCCTGATGATTCAGGATGAATCCAGATAAATCGGCACTTCTAAATATGACCAAAAACAAAATTTAGCTTCACAGAGTTCGAGTAGAATTTTCATTACTGAGCATCTTGATGGTGCCTGGTCCAGAGTTCCTGAGTGAGGCTCATGCCTTCAACAATGTTAATCGGTTTACTGCCCCTGCCTTCGTATGAAAATGGGTCCGAGATGGTATTTAATGCTCGAGGTGTTTCAGTGACACCACCACTTTTCACCACAGTGTGCGTAAATAACATGTCTCTAGGCTTCTTCTTCATTTCTTACCGACTGCTGAAAACTTCTGGTATTTTAGTCGCACAGTGAGGGTCGTAGTAGGTAAACAAAGCAGGTGACCACACCTTATTCCAACAGCAGGAAGGGTTTGACAACAAGGGCTGAGGTGTGATTGGTGGGTTGTTAGCGATACCTGGGAGGTTAGCTGTGTGCCCCTCGGAGACTGTGTTGTCAAGACTCCGGATAAATTACCAAACGTGTATCATCAGTGTTTTAGAGCAACAATAAGTGGGTGGGCTGTGTGTTATTGGTGTGTCTTAAAAGTTTAATCAAATTAATTGAGACAAAATTAAGGAACGAGACGAACGCATTCGTTTTAATGAAAAAAATAAATGAGGTCTATCTGTGTAAGTCGTAAGGGGGGGGGGAAACTGCTATCTTGTGTGTTCTGGCACATGACGTAAGTGCGACCGGTTGGGAAAATTAAAAAACCTGGTGTTAAACGTGTTCTGTGCATTAAAAAACCTGGTGTTAAACGTGTTCCTGTCACTGGCTGTGATGTTTTATCTTAGATAATAGCCCAGAGAAACAGCAGACCCCTGCTGTTTTTAACACAGGACTACACAGTGCAGGATCTGGGGATTTCCTCGGACACTCTCTATCAGCTCTATGCTGTGGTAATTTTCCACAGACCTTAAAGCCTGGTTGAGGCGTGGCATATGGAGAATGAGGTGGTAAGAGGAGAAAAAAAATATTTGTGCCATACTGTACTGATGTGGGGTTTTTTTTTTGTTTAAATTTGGCGCTGCAAGTTGTAAAGTGTAAGAGTGAGAATGGAGTAAAGTGTGTGGAACGGAAAGAAAACGAACATCTAGTAGTTAAGCGGTTTCACTAGGAGGCTTGTGAAAGCACACCCGTCCCTGCCCCCACCCATCCACACTCACGTGTGTGTCTCTAACACAATGGAAACTTTTAGCCCCAGAGTGAGAGGCAGCTCAGAGGGAGAAAAAAAACCCAACTACTCTCCGCTTCCTTTATTATGCCACTGCTGGAAACTCACTTCAACTCAAAGCCCTCTCCACTTACTTTTCAGCTTGGCCAGACTGTTCCTCGATCGTAACAGTTGACAGACAAACGACTGGCAAGCTACCTCGTGTGCTTGCATCAAGTCATTTACAAAAGCTGCTAAAAATACCAGCCGGGCTGCAGCGTGTGCTCTGCAAACACGACAAGGCTTGGCATTTAGGAAAAAAGTTGGCGAGCACGTTTTGAAGCACAATTGCGACTGTAACAAAGTTAAGCGCTCCTTTCAGAGAGTTTCTGAGCTGGAAGGTTACGCAGCCTCTGGTAGAACAAAACTCAAATCTTTGCTTTTTAACAAACTCTTTTACGAGCTCTGGCTCCTGCACGTGTTTCTGTAAACATATTGGCTGCGTGTGACGCACAGTCATAGCACATGAGCTGTTTCAGTCACAGTGGGTGTAAGCTTCAACGGTTCCTCTGTAGCCTGAGGGCAGAAACATTGACTGGCTGAGAGGAGTGAAGGACAAAATGGCTGAACCAATCTAAGGTCACACAGACTTCTGATAGAGCCACAGCTTAAGGCACACTCTATGAGCTGGGATGAACTGTAAAGACAGTGGCATCGAACTAGTCTTTTAATAAAGCAAAACTAAAAAAAAAGAGATCATTTTGAATTATAATTACCTGGGGGAGCAACTCTGTCCTGGTAAGTGGGCTTGTAGTTACTCAGTGTCAGCAGCATGGCCTGAATGGTCCCGATGAAGATTCCAGCCAAACATCCGTAGAAAATCAAATAGAACATAAAGATTTTAACTGTGGGAGAGAGAGAGAAAAAAAAACATCTTTAATGAAAGATTTTAACTGTGGGAGAGAGAGAGGGAGAGAAAAACATCTTTAATATGAGCTCAGAGTCTGAACTAAATGAAAGCTGACTGTTTAACTTTTTTTTTTTAACAGTAACAGACTTCTATACAAGTCATTTGTATAGTTTTCGACCCCTAAAATAAAAATATCACCAAACGAAAAAAGAAAAAATAAAATAAAAATATCACCAAACGAAAAACGAAATCCCTCAAAACCTCTTTGCTGTGCAAACTGCCTTCAGCCACAACGGTACCTTTTTTTTTCCTTGTTAATCAAACGTGTAACAACAATAAAAGTTTTTTTCCACTTTATGTAAATCCACTATGGTGATGCAACACCAGGGAGGCTGCAGTTCCAGTACTACAGGATGAGTCAGTCATCATTCCAGTCACATGAGACCCTCACCCCATTGTGTCGCCACTTCCTTACAGGTTAGACAAACACTGTCCATGCACAAATCAACAAAGAAGAGTCGACGTCCTTGTTTGTCGCTGGTTTTACGCGTTCTACTTTCACAGATGAAAACACTCCTGTTTTCCCCATCCGTTTATTTTTACTCAGGGCTTTGTTGGAAGAAAACACCAGTTTTGCAAGAATCCCAAAATTGAATGTTATATGGCAGTAATTACATTTTCATCACCATTATGGTGAGTCAGTACTTGATGTTGATTCTCTGTATTGTGGTCAGTGCACTACGTCACTCAGACACAATGCTGTGTTGGCATGAAGCTATTTAAGATCTTAGACATGACACTTAACAAACATCGTATGGTCACAGCTTAAAAGTTACAACTTAAACGGTTTACCCCCCCCCTGATCCTATTACCGAACACCACACACTACTTCACATTCTTGGCACTAATGAGATTCGATTTAACATGAGCCGCTGTGACATGCGCAAACATAACGTAGAGATACAGTACGGCGCTTATCAATCCAATCGACTTTTACTCATGGTCCATTAAAAATATTTAAAAACTTAAATAAATAAAACGGATGGATACATGGATAGATTTGACCATAGTCGGACCATTATTTCAGGGATTCCCAATCACTGTGCCGAGAGACATCATTAGGTTTGCTGTGGAAAATATTCCAATATCACTTAATTGGGCTGAATACTTTTATTTATTGCACATAATTTGTCTTTGCTCATCTAAGCATGAAAGGCAGAACGATTAAATGCGCTTTTACTAGGAGGCAGATGCTATGAAAACTAAAAAATTAATGTACAAGACCAAGCGTGGTACATCACGTGGAGAGTGGCAAAGAGTTAACTGTACGACAGTGTCACAAACTTACAATGCAGGGTTCGGTTAACAAAAGAAGGAAACAATACACTATATCCTTTAGAGGAAGAGAAACACAAAGAAAAGACGAGAACATTGTGAAAAGTGTCAAAAATACCTAAGAGGTGAAGAATCATTGTGGATACATAACCATTTTCGGTGCTTAAAATTTTCTACAACAGTTTTTTATTGATTCCTGTTCATTTTAAATATTGTGCCGAGGAGCCACTCTTAAGAATTGTTGCTGGAAGAGTTCAATAAGTCAACCGATGGTATTGCATTGGTATGGGTTATTAGCTGATGTGCATAGCTCAAATATCTATATCAGTATCGGAACTAAAAAAAATTAATCTAGATTATTGGTGCATCCCCACCGATGGTACGTGATGGTGTTAATATCTGTTTAATGACAGCCAGATCACTGTTATACAGCGCTGAGTTAATATTGCATAACACTTAAGTGTCATTTTACATTGTATAAAAAAAAATATAGGGGCACTAAATTTCAAGTTGTCTGATTTACAGTAACACATTTTTGATGTGGACCTTAGAGTACAACAGTTGACACAGAATCACTACTTTTTACATTCTCAGTAACATCGAATACGAATGTTACTACAGTAGCACCAAGTTGTAAATACATTTCTCCTGTCAAAGTCCTAAGAAAATGGACCTCTATTTGTTCTTCACTGTTTGGCAGGTCTGATAGATTAGTGTACTTCAAACCAAAGGGTTCAAACACAAACACAACGACTGTATAAAGGTGTTAGGTTACTAATGATTGTTTTCTACGGGCATGACAAGACAAACATTCTGTTCTTGTGATGTAAATCTGGCACCGATTTGGTTAAGTTAGCTTTTTGCTGCAATGCCTCTCATCTCATCAATCACAATGAGTTTCATAGCAACTGAACTACCCCCTTGACACTGTAAGTGGTATGCTAACTCGGTATTTGTATTGAAATTGTGAAATTGTGAACGTTGGTGGTACCTCCTCCACCGTCCCTGTGCAGCTACTGAAAAACCAGTTGGATGGGTTGGTCACAGGCTTGTGAAAGCCTTATACATTTCCTTTCACTGATGGTGCACAGAATAAACATGGAAACCAAATTCAGTTCACACAATTTACATTCTCTGCCTTTCCAGTGCATCAGTTCACGAGCAACGATTTACTAGTGAAGAGATTTAGTTGCAACCAAACCAGTAATGACCTGTTGCAGAGTTGTTGTTTGTCTTGTGGGAATATTTTCAGATTTTCTCCGAAATTGCTCTAGATTACAAAAAAAAAAAAAAAAACCCTCAATGAAATACCATTGAAAATAATAAGCTAGTTGTAAACCTGATTCAAGAGCAATATGGCATGTTTTATCAGCTCTGTCACTTATAACATGGTTAGATAGTTGACCTTTGGCAGCCAGATTCAGTGTATTTGAATATAAATAATTTATTACGTCATCACTTTCAATGTGCTGCTAGTTTTAAGTGGGATTAAGGAAAATGTTTAGAAAGCATCTGCACTTCACGTGTAATTACAATCTTTATTTACACACCTACAAATGTGCGTCACCCGTGGTATGACTTGGCACTTGAACGCAGGTATAAACAGAAGGCAGATTCTTAACTTAAAATTTACTATGAACAGAACTGCACAGGGATTTTGCTGTTTGTCTGCACTGAAATAATAACCACTGAAACAGTTCATGGAAATGAGCTCAGTTCGGCTTTGTCTGCACTGAAATAATAACCACTGAGCTCAGTTCGGCGTCAGTGCATGCAACAAACACCATTTTGTCGTCAGTATAGGCCACATATCAACAGTGCAGTCCACAGATGTAAAAAAAATAGCACAGTAGCCGGCCTAGTGGGGGTGAGAGTTTGAATGGAGAGCACCTCCCCCACCACACTGCCGAGGCACGGTCCAGTTAAGGGTCAGCAACCCATCCACGCCACACTTTTACGGAAGATTTTTTTATTTCCCTTTCCAATTCTAGTGGTCCTAAACAACCATCTGCAGCGACAGTTTCATCGTAACACTCGCTCTTTATCTCTAGTCCGGCGTTTTGACACATACGCCTAAAATAACGTCTTACCTTACACTATATTACAGCAATTTACTGACGTGGATCATCAGAAGCGACTACTTTACGACGCAGGGCTACAGAGGAAAAAACCCAACCTGTTGCGTGTCGGAGCCACGCCGCTTACTTTTACAGGCAACGTCACAGCTGACGCAGACACTGTAATAACTTATCATTTACATTGGAAAATCACATTTGGTGAAATTAGAGACAAAGCTGAAACGTGGGTTCAATAGCAGAGGACACAAATGTGTTTTAGGTTGTGCAGCTAACGTGCACGAAGAGACAACTGTCGCAGCACGACGCTGGTTTTTTTTTTTTCAATCTCTACTAATCAACAATGAAGCTCTGAGGTCAGCGGAAGGATTCGAAATTAAACCAAGGCACAACACAACGCAACATGTCTTTTTCCCCAATACGTGAATAAAAAAACAACCGGGAGGCGGAGGGGCGTTCTAATCGAAATGAGTCGTGATCGTCTCTGTCTGCTCCGCTGTCTGCAACAGGGAGACGCAGAACAGCAAAAAATAGATCATTTTAATCGATCAGCCTGGGTATAATGCATTAGCTGTGTTTTATCCTATCAATTCAATGAGCACGTATGATCATACCGCCTGTCCCCTTAAGCATTTAAGACCATTAGAGTCCATTTATCTGAGCTTTGAGTGAAAGGGGCTTTACAATATGATAACCCAGCAGACTCACGTCTACAAACAGGAGCTCCATATGTGCTATAATGGCGTAATTACAGATTTAAATACTAAATGAAACGCCGCTTGTTTCTTTTCGGTGGCAGTCGTACGTAACAACTAGTTGACACAACTTTACCCCGGCCCACTCCCCCTCAGCCACTGTCCTTCAGGGTGACCTTTTATAAATAAAGGACATGTAATTAGGATTGGATTGTAGTGTTTGCCGTTACACCACACGGAAACTATACCGAGCGAATGTTAGTGTTTTATTCAAGCGTGTAACCACCCATTTATTTTACCATGACATATAAAACACATTCAACCCATATGCAATGTGGATAAATCAGCCGTTTACATTTTGTTGCTATTGTTGCTTGCTATAAACTGGTACATAATCGTTTCCTATTTGAAAACTATACTTCGACTTTACATGTTCCTCCCCCTACGTCATTCTCCACTGGCCAACGTTTGAGTGAAATATTTCCAATTTAGAAAGCCCTTCATCTAATCAGGAATTAATTTGAACTCTTGTTAAAACAGAGTAATAGTTCAGGACACAACATGCAAGACGCAACGTGTATAGGAGCTGGTGTCGTGTTTCACAGGTGGAGTTTTGTGATTTAACAGACACAACTTCTCTCTGGCCCCCACCACGGCAGAAAAATGGAGTCACGACGCAGCGTGTCAGAAGTCGTGAGCTCTCTAACAGGTGCCGTGTGACTGTCAGCTAACGGACGACAAAATATTTCACAGTGAAAATTACTTTCTAATATCTCTGAACTTAGAAACTAGCCATGTAGGTACAGTTTTAAAGCAGCCAGCGCTGATGACGCTCGCACGTCAAAGTTAAATAACGTCAAAATGACTACTCACACCAACTGCATCCAGTTCGTCCAAGAAACTCTCCCTTCTCTGAATTCCACAGAAATCTCCTCCATCCACCGTCACTGTCCTTATTTCCTGCCATGTTAACTCCCGGGTTTTGGCTTCACCCTCTTGGTTCTGAAAAAAAATGGATACTAGTGTTGAGCGGTTCGGGACAGAGTGATGTTAACCGTCTCACACAGGAAACGAGAAAAGGCAGCTTTGTACCCGTCTCCACCAATTGTACCACACGCAATTTATCTCTCCGGGAAACAGACTCCGCCTTCGACCCGTTGTAACAAGTTACCCCTCCACCTCCACCCACAGTGGGAGGTGGGTGACTCTAGCAAATCAGAGTCTTCTGCTCTATATGCGTAAGAGGCTAAAGGAGTTGTAGGAAAAGGGTTGTATGGGGGTTGTTGGTCGATACTGGCGGTACGTCAGTGTACGGCAAAACACAGTACACAGAGTACAGCAGAGGAGCCATACAAAATGTCTATCAGGCCACAGGGTCAGCTGCCAAAAGCAGACGCTGTTAACGCCAAACACGTTAATAATAATTTAGCAATTCCTTTAAAAGTGTCAAAAACCACAAAGAGACGTTTAATACTTTTTTTCCCCAAAACCAACTAACTTAAAAATGTGTGTGAGGGTGGAATTGGAGGGGGGGTTAAAGGGTTTAGTTTTGTCAACGCTAAGACTTTTTTATCTAAATTCTGTATTAAAAAAAGATCATTTAGTAAAGGCTATGGGCTGCACAACTCTCTCAGGGGGAATCGTCTGTCAGTTATCACTGTTAGATAGCAAATAATGTGTGCGAATTACCATATTAAGTTACCATACTAATGTTCTGAAATGATTTGGAGGGTCAGATAAGAAAGACCAAGAATGGAAACTTGTTACTCAGCTGCTATGGTTTTAGAAACAGCTTTACTTTAATCAAAGACATAACATGGTCTAGGTTCACTAGAGACTAGAAACTACTAGAAAATCAACAGTGGTAGTTGGTTTTTCCGCCAGGACTTTATAATGCAAAGTGGTACCCAAACAGAAACGACGACAATAAAGAAATCTCTCATTTGACCTTCTTGCATACAGTCTTCAAACAAACACAACACTGTGGCAAAAAAGTTATATTCAAAGAGATTCAAAGTTACACAATGTGCTTTTTTTTTTTCATTTTAAAGAATGTTCTTCAGAATGGACATGAATCCCTAACATAACATTGAGGTTTTCAATTTCCTGTCCATAGTAATGCATCAAAACCCATATCACCTGACTGCTGTGTCTACCAAGCTCAGGGGAAATGAAAATTGGTTTGGCCTAAAAACAGCTTCCTACCTCTGTAAGCTACGGCAGCATTATAGCATGTGGACTTTCAAATAACAACAGTTGGAATTTTGGACAGCGGTTGCAAGACTTTCACTGCTTTTATGCATCACAACTTGACCTTAATCCTTCAATCTCCGCTACACTACTACTCCTTTGTGCTGAGGGAATCCAGAAGCAACAGGTGACCACAGACTAGGATGGTGTGCACTCATATTAGGATGCAAATGGAAGGGATTCTCAAGTTAATGAAAGACTCAAAAATGAGAATCGAGTAAAGTTGATTTGTATCTGATGTCGGGTTTTTGTATTGTTTGTTCTTTGTTTTTTTAGCTTGTGAGAAAAGTCAGTGTTTTGAAGCTTACTAGAACAACAGCATTTGGTTAGCACATTTATTTTTATTTTATACTCTGTTATCACAAGTTATAGGTTACAGTTAATTACAAGGGTATAGCAGAAATGATGTTCCTTTGATTACCATGTTGAGTCTGGGAAGCTAACGCGGGAGAATTTCCTGGCTGGGAATGTTCAGTGTCATCTATAGAGAACTCTAAACAAAGGAAGGTTTGGATGTCATATGTCCTGGAAACGAGCAGACACACACTTTCAGAGCACCTTAAAATAATCTGATGTAAAACAGATTTCCTCCTTCATTGGATGAAAAACGTTTTTGTTTTTTTTCTCTATTAAAACTGGACAAAGTCGTGGTGTAAATGTAACATGTTCTCATTTGCATTGGTACGGTACACAAGTCTCCCTGTATGTGTAAAGAGAAAATCCCCCCCCCCGATCAGTATTGCGTTCTCCGTTTTCACAGCATTTAAAGTAAACAGTGGAATACACTCCTTTGTGAGGCCATCGACTGTCCTAGTGATAACACAGCATCCAAATGTTTGCATAATCAAGGGTTTGCCAATATTGTCATGAGGTGCAGCATTCTTAGATAAGTTGGAGATAAAATGTGGTATGCAGCATGTCACCTGGACTTGAGCACATCAATAACAGCGCGTCTGGTCTACGAACCAAAATGTCTGACAATGGCCTCCAGTGATGGCTGTTTCACGGGACTTCCCGGTTGGAAACGGATTCGACTCTAAATTTGAAAAAAAGTAAAGGCCGATCCAGTGACCCAATGGAAAGACGCACGTCTTTTCACCTCAACCGCCTGACACACCAGTCAGTGAGTGTTGTGGCTTTTCCTACTGCACGCACAGTGTCTGGTTGTCTTCATGGGTAGTCTGTTTACGTTTTGGAGGTGTTTTAACATCAGGTAGCAAGACAGTATAGAAAGTGATTTATTGAAGGGAAAGTGATTTATTGTCATTGTGACACAGCACACCGCTGCACACAACAAAATGTGACCTCTGCCTTTAACCCATCACCTTAGTGAGGAGAGGGTTCAGCTCAAGCTGAGCACTTGGGCAGCAATGTGCGGGGACAGTGCCATGCTCGGAGAGTAAGTAACAACATTCCCAATAAATTGCAACAGTAACAGTCCTTTGACAAAAGTGTAACAAAGTAGAATGACTGTTTTCTTTGCATACCGTAGATGAGTGAATGTGTACACTGTGTGTACTTCTGCAGGAGTGCCGCTTTAGGGGTTGGGTACAAGTGTATGCAAGGCAGGGAGGGAAACAGAAGATGACAGCTTCACAAAGAAATAGCTGTTATAAGTGTGAGCCAGGAGAACTGTTGACCTCTGCGATGTAAGGCAAGCGGGCTACCAACATTTTTATTAACAAATTGGTAGACTATTGTTACACAAAGTATAAATGTGGTATAACTATTTTTTTTTGGATATCTGCTGTATTTTACAAGGTAAAAAAAAATAGTATTTATCGCTCACAAAAACTCCTTGCGGCTTGGTTTTTCAGACTGTGACTCATGAGGCAGTCGGACGCACAGTATGTTTCTAGAGCTTTCTGATGGAGCGTATGCCCTGCAGGGTTAGGGTTGCATGGCTAAATCAATAAACAACACATCACGTTGTTTTTCACTGTGGCCACTGCAAGGCAGGATCCTGAAAGATGATATATTTTCCTGATTTCCATTTCTTTACATACACACCCCACTGCAGAGAGCAGTATTAGAGCAGTGACTGATATTTTACCGGTTTATACAGTTGCAAAGAAGGAAAAGTTAAAAAAAAAAAAAAAAAAAAAGAAAACAAAAATTGAGTGAAGCATGTCATGTTTCCAACGACATAATTGAGTGAAGCATGTCATGTTTCCAAACTTGGACCGACATCCTTTCTCCATTGTGTGTGGGGGTTTCTTTGGGTTCTCTGGTTCACTCCCACAGTCCAAAATATGCAGATCAAGTTCAATAGACGTTCTAGACTAAACCGCATATGTGGTTGTTTGTCTCTTTGTGGCTAGGCAACCAACGGGTGATCTTTTCACAGGATTAAGCTGTGGAATGAGCCGAAGAGCAAATATATTTGTCATACCCTGTACCTGAGTTTGATTGGCAGACTGAGTAATTAAACATAACAAATCAAATTTGAAGCCATTTATGTCCTGCCGTGTTGCAAAATGTAAACGTCGCTAAAGATATACAGACGTGACAATCAGGGCTACAATTCAAAATCACCATCTTTACTGATGTGGATGTGAGTTAGAACGACCAAATGACCGACATCTTCATTTAGGCCCTTGGTGATATGCTGGTCCAATCAGATCACTTCAGGGTTACCAAGGTTACCACTGGTGGTCTTCCTACTTTAAGGTATAAGCACCCGCCTCGCTGTTGTGAGGCCTGTTTTTTTTTTTTTTTAACGTTTCTGTAATTTGTACTCTACTGTTCAGTTCATGATTAATCCCAACCCAGATTACTTAATCTTGCAAGGACGGCCTAAAAGGTTAATTTTTTTTTCTTTTCTTATCTCTCAAGGTCCTTGAGGCTTGAGGGGAAGATGCGACATTGAAACATTTAAATGCACGAGAACAGTGTCTCGTTGACCTGAAACATTCTGGCCTGGATTGTTTTTATTCCTGCTCTGCTGGCATCACTCCTGTCAGAGTGTTGGCTCCACCTCTCTGACTCACCAGTCATTGTTTTAGTGAGACTTTCACTTGTAGCTCAATGATTTCTTTTGGCCTGAGGGCCTTTAAAAAAAAAGCCTTTTTTTCCAACCTCTTAGATTTCTTTAATGAAGTAGTTCTATTAAACTCCAATGGACAACTTGCGGAGGGAGCGTTTGATATGCCCATAGCGACACTTTTTTGTTTTTGTTTTTGGTTGAATTTCTGGTATTATAATTATATCACCACTATTAATAATTAAATATAATTGAATCAGTGACTCCTCTGGTATGTGCACAGCTCTCCATCGATTAGACCAGTGTCAGATTTAACGGGTGCTTCGTTGAACTGGGCCCTCGTTAAATACGAGTAATGGAAAAGAAGAGATCTGTGCGTCAGACGCCCATCTAAGGTTATTTCGTCGCGGGCCCAGGCAAGTCGGGCAGCCAGCTGGCCTAGACCCAACAAACTGGGGTGTCCCGTGTATTCTAGCAACCTCCTATCAGAACCTTCACTAATTTTCCAGCAGTTTTACAGCAGTTTTTTTTTTATCTGTACAAACCACTGTATGAGTTGCTGCCACCTAGTGACTGGAGGCTTGTTTATCGTTCAAGCATTACAGCAGTGGTACACTTATGTCCACGTGCCATATGTTATTGGAAGCCTCTCACGCGCTCCCCCAGGGGGGGGGCCCATGCTAGGGGGACTCGATTCTAGAGATTCTAGACACCAGAGAAATGCCTTTTTTTCTGTAACATTCTAGAAAAGTGTTACTACCCATGCAGTGGTAAATTGCTTTGCTATGTTGTTGCTTTATTTTTTTTAATTCAAATTTAATTGCATTTTCGTTGAAAAAAGAATACTGGAGTAAATACACGATTAAATATACCTCTGGGCCAAAGCGCCACTACTGGAATAAATACACAAATTAAATTCAATCCAATTAGAGAGGAAAACCAAAAAGGCAACAAAACCTATAATGATGGAAAAATAATCCTAACCCATTTAAACCAAAAAGGTAACAAAACCTAATTATGGAAAAATCTGCATACAAAAAAAATTAATCAAATTCGAATACTAAGCATTTAAAACCAAAAAGGAAAAAAAAAAACCCCCCCCCCCCCCGACTCTGTGGGGTAGTTCCTTATTCCAGCCGCCTAAAGACATTGTAGCTTTTACTTGTATTGATATTGATATCACTGTAGTCCCACAACTCGCAGCACAAAAGCAGACCGCAACACTCCGAAGTACAACGCACAGAAGTATCTTCGGCTTCAAAGAGACTGAGAGTGATGACCTCCAGCCATCAACATGGGGTCAGTGGCACATGAAGGCTGCGTCTAGGTCAAATGAAGAGCAGATGTTCTCTGTAACTGCCAAATATTTACCTTACACGAAACCGGAATGAATTTGTGGAAATCTGACCCCGAGCCTTTTGTTATTGTTATTTTGACTTGCATTTGTCCCTGGAGGAATTAAGACTATTAGCTTATCATCATGGTAGAGTCGTCTGAGATTGTTTGATACCCTGATCTGTTTGGTCACGGTTTTGAGGTATGTGGTATAAGCGAATACAGATAAAAAGAATGCATTGGTATGTACAGGGAAGGAGGTGCCGGCAGTTCGCTTTGGACTGAAGCGTCTGCTAAATATAATGTAATGTGTGATCCTTGGCACATTGTCTGCACGTCACAGTCAAGTCAGATCAAAGTGTCGCGAACAAAGCTCCGAATTGTCTATTTAGAGCAGTGTTAAAACACTGCTCTAAATAGAGATTTTTTTAATTAGAATTACTCGTCTAATAATAACTCCTCGTACTGCTACTTTTCTTTTTTTTTTACTTGTGTGGAACTCCTCCTCCTAGTGACTCACACTCCTGTTCCTGAGCATGTGTCCTCACTTATTTTTAGAACCGCAAAGATGATCTGTAGCATGAGATCAGTTACTCAAGACCGCACTGATCCAATGGATTTCTTCCCCTTAATTCACCTATGTGTAGCACAAGGCCATCATAATCCCCCTTAATCCTATTTTCACTCAAATAATATGTTTAATGTGTTCAATCCAAATGGGTCTACATCATCTGTATCAGGGGTGTCAAACTCAAGTGGGCCGGACCAGTACAACAGTAAGTCCATGATTTTTCCCTCTTTGTTTTTACGCAAATAAGAACAAGTATATTAGATATTTATGACTATTATTTATTCATATTTATTAAAATATAATTTTATTTAAAAAAAAATTGGGCCAGATTGAACGTCCTAGCGGGCCGGTTTTGGCCCGCGAGCCGTATATTTGACACCCTTGCTTTATATACTTCAAGAGTATTTCATCAGCATCATGGGCTCAGTCACTTTTCCTATTCCGCCCCACCCTCATACATGTTCATGAGATCATGAGTGATCATTGTGACATCAGCATGGATAAGAAGATATAGACAGATTAAAGCGGAGAGACCCACCTTGTTCTGCAAGAGATTTTCCTTTCCAAATATGTACCCTACGTGAATCAATCTTGCGTCGCAATCGTGTGTTGCGACTTCCTGCCAGCATGGAGAATGAGGTTTATGGTAACCTGACCGTTGGAGTTGCAGTTCTTTATCTCACCCTAAACATGCGGGCTACACGCCCAAAATGCTCACTGACCTCATCGTAGGTGCTGGTTGCTGTGTAAGTTGTGAGGTTTCTCTGTTTCCGCCCACGTTTTTACAGACTGTTTCATGTGAATGGGAGCGACGTATTTTACAACAGATAAAATAATGATATTATATATTACAGAAATATAATAACTTTTTCCTCCTACAGCCCAAACACATGCTCATTTTAAGGAATTGGGTCGAATGGTCCAAACGCGTGAATAGGCAACAGACAAGCGAATTGTCCCCACCCTCTACACTGAATGCTGTGACTGGCTCCGCCCACCCTCTACAGAACATAGAATTAAGTGGTAGATGATGGATCGATGGACTGATGTCACCCCCACCCCAGTCACTGCCAGTATAGAACATTAGCAGCGATATAGCCTAAGCAAATCCATTTGTGATGCTCGCTGTTAAAATATTACATTAGAGGCCGTCTTTAATGTGGATAAAATCATAGCAGGACTATTTCTGGCCTCATCGCATCATTCCAGCATCATTTCCTATGAACATCTGACAGATGATCTTCAAGAGCTAAAGGAGGAGCTGTAGAAAGTAGCTGTGATCTAAAAAAAAAACAAAAAAAGCATTACAGATTTAGCTGCAATCCTTTATTATTATTGTTCTTTAAAAAAAAAAATCTAAATTAATGAGCAAATTGCGAGGTCTGTCTGTCTCGTTCACGCCTTTCTGCTGTGTAATCAGTGTCTCAGTGTTCATTAGTCTCACTGGTGTCAGCTGGTGCCCTGGGTATATAAACCTCTGTCCCTCACTCTGTCCTTGTGATGGTGGTGTGTTCACAAGGTGACTATCACGTTTGCTGCATTACGTGCAATAAATGCCCGTCTGTCTCTAAATCAGTGAGTCATCATCTCACTGTTGACCCCAAATTATCGTGATTAAGATTTAAAATGATAATTTATTTTTTTCAAGTTATGCTGTAAGCTAGTCTCACATTAGCCCATGCTCATGTGTCAAAAAAAAAGCACCACTTAAGTGTTTGAATTACATGTCATCTTTGACTCTATTGTTTTAAGGTGCACCGGTTTCTACTGTGGGGCCGCTTAGGTCTGTATCTCAAAGTCCACCTTAAAAAAAGTCCAACTGACTCAGGATTTTATTCTGGGAGAACCAAATTACACATCACTCTGGTATATAAAACATCTGGACAACAACAGGCTGAGAGGAGTTGTAAGGGCGTCCAACAACAGCAGCAGCAACAGCAGCAGCAGCAGCAGCAGCGGTCACACTGATCTTTTTCACCATGAATCCTGCTCCACTGGCGTTGGCGTTGACTCTGCTGGTCACGGTTAACGCTCAGTCCCACGACCATCATGACATGGGCTGGATCAACGGCTACCGACAGGGCTTCAACTTCCAGTGCCCTCACGGCGAGGTCCTTGTGGCAATCAGGAGCTACTACAGCCAGGAGGATGGTTCTGACCGCCTGTGGTCGTTTGAGTGCCAGCCCACACCTGAGAGTCTGGGAGAACCCAGTGGCTGTTGGTGGGATGACATCAACCGTGCTGGGATGGAGTGGTGAGTCACATCTGGCTGCTTTTGTATGTTCGTCACCACATGTTTGTTTACATCATCCTGTCAGTGAATAAGAGCGCAAATGAAGAGGGGTTCTTTTTAATGAAATAAATAGTATACTAAAAGTTAAAACCATGTTTCCAGTTAATTCCCTAGATTAATAATCAAAGCTAGGGGAATAACCTATTTTGAATATTCTGAAAATATTTATTGAATGTAGTATGAGTATAGAATGCAGAATAGCAAAGTACATTTACACGCAGCTTGTTATAGTTAATATAGCAGTGGATTACTGCACAGTACTGTACAATACAGTAGTTATATATAAAACAAAATACGTTTCCTATAACAACTTGGGTTGTTTCTGAATACAAAATCCAACACTGATGTGGACGGCAGCAGCTGCGACCTTCAGATCGTTCGAGTTCGCGACCCTTGCTCTAGCCCAGTGGTTCTCAATCATTTTCTGTCATGCCCCCCCCTTGGGGACAGAAAAGTTTTCACGCCCCCCGGCACCCGCACCCTCTCCGACCCAAACCCCCGCGAACTGAAATTCCATTGAGAACCTGATAACATATATAATCTTTATCCGTACAAACCACTGTATGCTGCCACCTAGTGACTGGAGGCTTACTATCATTCAAGCAGTGGTACACTTATGTCCAGGGTGCCATATTCCATTAGAAGCCCCTCATGGCCCCCCCCAGCAGCTCATCGCCCCCGCTGTGGGGGGCCCGCCCCATTGTTTGAGCCAGAGTCTAGTCCTTGGAGATCGCCACTGGCAAAGAACAGAGGCCCGTCCGAGTTCTGAGTGCAGTTCTCCCCGGGTGACAGTGGCAAGGACAGTGAAGATGCGTAGTTTATCGGGAGTATAAACACAGTACAGCTGCCAACAATCTTCATTTATTTGAAGACAACGTTAGCCACATGTCTGTGCTTCTCAAAGCTAACCTCCTGGGTCGAAATGTCGCCCAACTGTAACAGGCAGCTGCTTCAGCTGCCGCAGTGAACGGTGTTATATTCCTGATCCTTGGTTCTGTCTTTGCTCTCTTTCTGGTCTCCAATTGGCTCTTTTTGGCTGGTGTTGTCACTGACCCTGGCTAAACGCTCAAGGAACAAGCTAGCCTTTTGAATGGAATGTAATTGATGATATACTGTAGACGTCTGCAGGTCAGCTTTGTGTTGTGCAGCCAAGAACCTAGCTACCACCCCCTCACGTGAATTCTAAGATTCTTCAGCTCTGGTAATCAACACTATCCCACTCTATTTATGAAATGCAAACTTAAAAAATGTGGGGAACATTCAGAGCTGAATACCATCTGGGCTCATGTCTGCTGACAACTGCTGCACCTATCTGCCTTCCTGGCGAAGCATCAGTTCATTTTTTGTTTTTTTGTTTTGCTGAGATAAGAGTGCGTATCAAGACCTTCTCACGTAACATTCAAATATTTGACCTGCAATCACAGACATGAGCAGAAGAAAGTATTTACAACACATGGACAACTGCTGACGCATGGGTGTGGAAAGCACAACTAATGTCTTTGAAGTGCTTTGAAGTGAATGTTTTTATTTTTGCATTGAATAATCGTATTTATATCAGGGGTTCCCAACCCCTGGTTGGGGGACCGCAGTGGGCCACAGTGAAGAAATGTACTTCAGTTTTACTAATTGACTTCATTCAAAAAGAATCCAGTCATATCCCTTTACTTTCTTCATTCAATGTTTTTAAACAACAGATCATTCAGACTCTGATACTAACAGAAGAAAGTCTAAAAGATGTTTTATTTTGAAATTTTCAATAATAATTCAATAATAGTGACGGTAGATACTGGCCGACCTGTACTTGGTACAAAAAGAGGTTGATCTACATGGTGGTAAGAAAAAAAACAACCTATCATACCGATGCAGTTCAGTTGATATATAATGTATTCGAAACTCACAAATGGTCTGGAAAAATGTTGCCTTGAACAATTTTCCACATGTGTATTTTCTGTTTCTCCTCTGTTAGACTTTACGGGAAATCAAATCCTCCTGAGCCTTGATCAGTGTCCAATAATGACTAATACGTTTCAGCAGACGTTTCCTTGGAATGCAACTGACAAGATTCATAGGGTTCCCCCGGGGTGACCCTTCAAGTATACAAGAGTTGTTGTGTTCATCTGAATTCAATACAAAAATCTCAACAATACGGGAGGAGAAGAAAAAAATCAATACAAAAATCTCAACAATACGGGAAGAAAATGAGAAGAAAAGTCCTGTTTCTTATTGTCTGGAAATTCATTTTCACTCAAAAGCTGCAGCTAACATTAGTTGCGTTCGACTCGCCATGACTCACCAGCAATCACTGTGAAAGGAGAAGCCTAGCCTCTCATTGCAACCATGATAAAGTGCACACAAATCACTGAAACAGCTCTTCACGTTAACTCTTGATCTGAATGAAGATTCTTAAGTGTTTAGAATTAAAGCTGAGTCTTTCAAACGCAATAAGCTCTTCCTCTAACAACCACGCCTGCTGTCTGTTTGAATTACACTGGCCGGGACATTGGCCTGCAGGGTAACTGCCTCCACTGGTAGAATGGCTGAAGGCTGTGCCTGTGTTGCCATGACAAACGTCTACACATGCTTCAGCTCCCGCTGATTGGGTCTGGCATTCTTAAAAGTGTTGTGGTGACAGTGGAAAGTGTGGGCTATAAACAAAGCAACAAACCAGTATTTACCTCCGCTGACGTGGGTGCCATTTGTCAACTGTCTAAATGTTACTTACAGTCATTACCTCTCGGAAAAGACCCCCCTCAGAAATATGAATCCAGTTTTTTTAAAATAAAATACTTTTTACCAGTGGATGGATACTGTAGTTGCTAGAGTTTGCTAAAGGAAGCGGTAGAAAAGTACACTAGAGTGGTGCCCAACCTTTTTTGTACCAAGGACCGGTTGGTATCAGCTGTTACTGTGTCGTAAGGACCGGTTGGTATCAGCTGTTACTGTGTTGTGCCATTGTTGAAGAATCATATTTTTGTTTTGTTTTGTTTTGTTTTGTTTTGTTTTGTTTTGTTTTGTTTTGTTTTGTTTTGTTTTGTTTTGTTTTGTTTTGTTTTGTTTTGTTTTGTTTTGTTTTGTTTTGTTTTGTTTTGTTTTGTTTTGTTTTGTTTTGTTTTGTTTTGTTTTGTTTTGTTTTGTTTTGTTTTGTTTTGTTTTGTTTTGTTTTGTTTTGTTTTGTTTTGTTTTGTTTTGTTTTGTTTTGTTTTGTTTTGTTTTGTTTTGTTTTGTTTTGTTTTGTTTTGTTTTGTTTTGTTTTGTTTTGTTTTGTTTTGTTTTGTTTTGTTTTGTTTTGTTTTGTTTTGTTTTGTTTTGTTTTGTTTTGTTTTGTTTTGTTTTGTTTTGTTTTGTTTTGTTTTGTTTTGTTTTGTTTTGTTTTGTTTTGTTTTGTTTTGTTTTGTTTTGTTTTGTTTTGTTTTGTTTTGTTTTTGTTCTGTTTACTTTTTTTGCAGTATTTTCTTTTTGTTGCGTTAACATCTTCCTCTTTTGCAGGACTTCAAAGTGTTCCCGTAACGGCCTGGTCGCTGGGGTGCAGAGCAAGTACTTTGAATCGGTTCTCGACCGGGAATGGCAGTTCTACTGCTGCTTTTACAAACGCCGCTGTCCCTACTCCTGCATGTACGTCAGTTCAGTTGGTTTATGAAGTTAAATGATACCGTATGAATAATCTTATTTAAATGCCACGGTCTCATCCGTTGTGAACTCTCCCACTGTGGCCCGGTATTAAATGACCCATGGACCAGCACCGGTCCCCGGAACAGGGGTTGGGAACCTCTGCCCTACTGTACATGCTTTTGGAGGCTTTCGTGGGTATTTGATATTGGCCTGCACAAAAAAATGTTTATGAAGTACTTTTTGTTTTGTTTTGTTTTGTTTTGTTTTGTTTTGTTTTGTTTTGTTTTGTTTTGTTTTGTTTTGTTTTGTTTTGTTTTGTTTTTGTTCTGTTTACTTTACCTTTCCACCCACAAACATCAGTGCATTGTCTACATCATATGTGTCAAACTCAAGGCCCGCAGGCCAAATTTGGGCCACGGAGGCATGTTGTATGGCCTGCTGTTTTTCTTAACTTGATCAATATATTGTTTTTTATTACGCAGACCAATGTTAAATATTTGTAATTTGAATAAATAATAATCAAGTGCAGAAACATGAATTATGTTATGGAGTAGTTACAGCTACACAGTCTGACAGTTACAACTGGCCCTTCAGGGGGAACTGTGTTGCTGATGTGGCCGCCGCGGTGAAAAAGTACATGCAGTAATACTCAGCTCGATAAGTGTGTCTTTTCTTCACACATTTCTCTCCTTTATCAGGCAGACCAATGACATCCCCGAACACCACAAAGAAGAAGCAGAGCTGGTGGTCCCCTCATACGGCTACTTTATCCGGGGTGCCCAGACCACATTCAGTGGGGTGCTGAGGTATGTGGAAAACCATTTGCTTCTAATATCACATTTTTCTCATTTTTCCTGCCGTATTTATAGTATACTCCAATGCTTAGATTTATGATATTTCGGGTTCTCACTTTGTTTCAGGGATCGTCAGTGGAAGTACATCCTGTGCAGAATGACGAGCTTTGACTGTGAATTTGAGAATTTATAGACTTTAGACAGTAGGAGCATGTTCCCAAAAACCATTGACACTCACCAAAACCTATTTACTCTTATATTAACAAACATAACATAACACCAAACTAATTTGGTTGATAGTTTTTCATACACATACACATTGCTTTTGATTGATGCAGAAGACTGACCACATGTATTTGACATATGCCTGAACAATATACACATATATGAATTTTAGCACGGAAATTCACTTTTCATATAAAAACAACTATAAGATCCACTCGCGTGTTTTCATTATCTGTATTGTAGTATTGGTAACGTGTTGACCGGGTTCTACTAAACACACATTACTATATGATGGCATGTTTATCATTGGTTGGTATCACACAAGCACATCGGACTAAGGTACACGAGCTTTCTGTTGAAGTCATACTGAAGACCAGTAGTTGACACTATTTTTACTTTCAAAATAAAAGTATGCAAAGAG